GAACATGACATATTGTTGCGTTGTTTACGTCTATAGCATTAATTCTATAATGTCGTATAATTTGCAGTCACGCGTCTTTAGGATTTTTTGCCATCACTTTACTATTACAACCGAAAAAAGAAATAAGCTCGATATCTTTACCTTATCATTTCTAGTCATAAACAGTCATTTTGTTATGATGGGGTTTTATTGCACTAGGGAGTGCAAATATCAAATTAATCTTTCAAAAACTGCAACGAATAATTGGGTGTAGGGTTGCTAAAAAGATAGAAAATCAGCAAGCAACGAATCTGAAAGTAAAGCCGTCGTGTACAAAAAAAATTGAAAAATAGATAGTATAGGCCCACAAGCCCTGCTTCGCCATAATTACAGTATCGTGTGGGTGCAAAGTTTAAAAATCACTTCTTATTCTTCCATTGATTATATAGATTTTTTCGTCGATTATCTGTTCAATAAAGTCGTACAAATACAAATATCGAACATAACATTAATTGTGACAATAGGCACGTAGGTGTCAAGCACACGCATAAAATGAATATCGTAGTCGATTTGTCCCTAGGCCTTTTGTCAGACTATAAGAAGCTTTACGAAAGCAGCAAATTTCAATTTATGTTGGAAAGGAGCCAAATAATAAAATCTTTTTCGCTCATACACTGGTATTGTGTACACGAAATCCATTTTTTGAGAATAGCTTAACTGGGAATACAGAGACATCTAAGGAAGATGTGTCACCTGATGTTTTCTCTGTGTAGGTAAACCTCATGTGTTAAACCTCTATTAATAACATCAAGCTTATTATATCAACACTAGTAATAGCGATAGATCTACTGATTCCCAATTCAGTCGTAATATCAAATATATATTGCGTAAAAGTATGAAAATTGCACGTGCATTACAATTTGCAATATTCTAGTCACTTTTTGTCACCGTCACAAGAAAACATAATTTTATTTTCCGACACAACTCATCACTCACATCATCAAATAGTCTTATAAAAATCGTGTCCAAATAAAGTTACAAACTAATAAAGGAACGCAAAACTCCAAACAAAATCAAATCCTGAAACACATCAATTTGTAAAAAAGTATGTGATCATGAACCAGGTTCATACCACAAAATTAAAACAAAAGCTGATTATAAAAAGATAGATGTTAACCTATTCTCATGACAGATTATAATTAAGCAATTGCCTAAGTTGCGGAGAATCGGGAAATTCGGTCATAAAGCTCATTTGCAGAGGTGGCGTAGATGGTCGATTTCGGTTTTTAAAATCCTCGGCAATTTTGTTTATCCGCTCCTGTAAATTTGAAACCCAGTGTAAGCATCATGATAGATCTTTATCATAACTAAAATGATAACTGAAAAGGCCAAAAATACATGCTTCTAACGCTACAAAGTGACAAATATTGGATTCTATTAATGGTATTGAAGCTCTATCAATTGCTAATCTCGTCCTCTGAAAAGGCCATGAGCAGTATATCCCGAATCTGTAGTCCATAAAAAAAGATTCAACTTCATCGCCTGGATCAATATAAATGTGTCAGTTAAATATATAAACATATACAGAAAATGCCAACAACTTGTTCTATAAATTACCCATATTCATTAACAATCCTGCTTCGCCGGGACCACCTTTTAAGTTTAATTGTTGATTCACAGACTTCTTTCCTCTTAAATGTGCCTTGATAAAGTCTTTCTTTCTTCCAAGTGGTGTTACTCCAAGCGGCTTTATTTCCGAGTCAAGTATAGGCACATCATCAACAACGCAAGAGAAGTCAAGACGTTTTTTTATGCCACTTACTGCACTATTAAGTCGGACTTCATATTCTGCAAGACGTCTAAAAAATAAAGAATTTATATATGGATACAACAGCCTATCACAATGTATTTCTTCAGATGTTTTGGCTGAGAACCGGACGAGAATATCGCACCTGTATGGAATAACGAATAAATAAATATCATTGTTAGACTTTACTTACAAATGTATTTTAAAGACTAAATATAAATAAACATACAAATTATTAAATGTACGAGCAACGACTTTGCTCAGTTCCGATCCATCGAGTTGCATATAGCTTTCAATGCCCATTAAACGTTTCATTGCAACTTCTCGAAGAACAGCTGAGATTGTTGACGGTATTACAGGATAGTGGATTACGTATGTATTCGTTTGAGTTATTTGATGCCATTCGCGGTTGGTAAAAAATTTTGGATATGGGCATGGCCAAGAAAGTATCATAATAGATGCTAATGCTCTACATCCAATAGTAAAGGATATTTAGTTGTAACAGTAGGGATGTAACATCACTTGTTTATACTTACAAAATCTCATATGAATTATTCCATTTCAATTCATACTTCATCGCTTTGTCGACAACACTTTGCTGGTACTGGCGAAACTTCTGCGTAACATTTATATCGCCAACTGTCCACTAAAGTGCGTAAAATAAGATCAAGAATATGGCAAAAAAACAGGGAGTCAAAAGTTTAACTGCTACATACCTCAATCGATGGCACCATCTCCAATTGTTTCTTAATGCTTACAAGATTGATTTCAATTTTCTCACGTTCTTCCAAAGTCTCATCAACACCACTTGTTATTGTAGGTGATGCGTATGTAGTAATAGATGGGCTGGTTGTTTCGATCTGACATATAAGGAAATATGAGAAGATTTTGCAAACTAAATATGAATTTATTCTGTACCAACCTTTTTCGCTGCTGCACATTCAATTTTATCCATATGCTTGGATGTATCAGATGAGCTAAGTTTCCAATTAGATCTCTGCAGAGGAACATAAAGGTATGGTGACTAAATCAAATACTCTACTCATAAACATATGACATTAAATTAATCATACCAGTTTTACATCAACGTTTTCCATAATTGTTTTAGTTGCTTTCAAAACCCCTTTACTTATGGCACGAGCTATTTTAAACTAAAATAAAAAATACGTTATTGATTATATCTATCTAACAGTGATAAGAATAATTGTTTACCTCGTCTATAAGCAATTTGTTCTCCTCTGTATTAATTTTTTTACGGATATGTTCATTTTCAATGTCGTTCCAGAAATTGTCAACTTCCTGAAATTTCGATACAAAATTATATATGATAAATGCTCGAAAAAGAGTATAATATTGACAAGACAGACAACAACGAACTTGCAAGATCATAAGGTAGGCTACTTGTAAGAAGCCTACCGTAGTTGTTGGAGTTCTTAGAACTACTAGAGTTCCCACACAACGAACGTGCAAGATCATAAGGCAGGCCACTTATAAGAAGCCTGCCGTAGTTGTGTGAGTCTTGGACCCCGGGAACTTCTATACTGTCTTGCCAGAATAATTACAAAAAAAGACAAATTCACGAAAATGCCGGCTGGGAATTGAGTCCCGGCCACTTCTCAGTCTCACGAAGCGAGAATCCTGATGCTTGTAATTACCCCAAACCTTTCCCTTAGCCTTTTGGCACTTTCCATTATTTCCGAGTTACTACTATTACGTGTATTCAATAATAATTCAAGACTTTTTTTCAAGGCTTATGCTTTTTTTTTGAAATGAAAAATTATCCTCTTTAATACGATATTGATAGAACCCAAGAAAGCTATACTGATACTGGTCAAGCGTACATTGTCGTGTCGAACTCCAAATTAAAAAAAATTTTCTGGGACCAGCTAAATAAAGCAATTTCATTGGTTGATATATAAATTGACCAATTTAATTGTCTCCATTGGCCCGGACCACTTAGTCACGACAACAAGCTTTAACTTGCAATTAACGGACAATGAGAATTTCTTATTAAAATTTGTGTCATTCAATCAAGATTTTAGAAAGATTCTTTCGTTGGTTTATTAACCAATCTTTTTAAATTATCCGGTCCATTTCTTAGTGTAACAAAAAAAAGGCTTAGTATAGTGTCACAAGCGTTATATTTAAGCCGTAGTAATTGTTAAAGAATGATCTCTCTCCACTTGAAACCCTTTTTTATGTCGTTAATCAAGAATACTCCAAATCAAACAATTGACGACTTGATTCATCTATTTTTTTAACCAGATGGGCCATAAACAGCTCGTTGTTTTCTTTTAAGTTGTGTCATCATTGCTGGTGTGATAGATAATGTTTGCGAATTGTCACATCCCAAAATGGGTTAACCCATTCTTAATCCTAGAATGGATCAGAACAACCAACAAACTTGTAATACGTACCACTGATCCTTGTCATATGTATCGGGTCTGCCAATTAGCAAAATTCGAAATGATTGTTTGTCACAACATTCACAAAAAAAAATCTATATAAACAAACAAAAAAAAAGCAAGACTAGGATCTAAGGTTTCCCTTATCTGAGAACTTGACGTTTACAGCATAATTTCGAATTTTTATCTGCCAATCCAACTCCACAAACCACTACACCGACCGGCAACACTTTTTTTATCTACTTCATCCGCCGCATCCGAAAAGAGAAACCTTCTTCTGCTACAGTGATTCACAACCTTCCCAAAGGAAACCCCGACTGATCAAGCCATAGATCAACTCAATTATCAAACTAAAAAATCAACAAAAAAAAAACAAACAAAAAACAAAAAACCTCAGACCTAGCATCATCTAAGCTGAATTTACCTCAAAATAATAATTAGAATACAAAATAAATCTATTCTACTACTCTTTCTCCAAATATAATTTTCAATTTACTAATAAATCTCCCTATATATATAGTCACGTACTGTCTAAAACTATTGGGTTCTATCAGTATAATTCATGTAAAAAAATCAGCGCCAATTATCTGTTGAACGCATGTTCGAAAGGTGCAATCTCATATCGATTATTAGTTATTCTATTGATTTGGCAGATAAAGTCGCAGACATCCAGTATGCCCTGTTTCCTCCTGGCCCTTTAAAGGAGAAGACAAACCGTAAGAAAACGGGTAAAATGGCATGATATTTGAAATAAATTTTTTATACCAGGCGGGAATTGACATTTCCCATCTGTTAATCGCCTCTTGATTCCTGAACATGAAAACTGTGTTGCTGGCATAAGCGTCGATAGCTCCAGTGGCGACAATATGGTTGATAAGGGCTTGCTTATTCTGTCCCGGTATGCCATTACGGCAGCCGGGAACGGCTGGGACATTGTTAAACCCAGCGTCGTTCCATACTATTATTAATGTTGGGTCTTCTTCGTTTGAGCATTTTTTTCATAGCCCGAAGGACTAGTCGGGCTGTTTGTTCGTCTTGGAGAGCGGTTGGAAACACGGAAAGTGTTAAATAAGGTAAAGAAAATCATGAATTGTCAGACAAAATTTGTACCGGGATGTAAAAAGAGACACTCGTTAGCAATATACCATTTCCGCACTTTCGCGCAAGCTTCTCGGGTTTAGTTTCGAATACTGTAATACGTGAAGACAGTTACCAAAAGATATGATTTTACAAAAACAGATTGTCAAAGAAACACCAATAATACCTTTGTGGATCAGGTTGCTAATGATAGGCCTAGTTCTTCGAGTAGAGGGATTCCGAGTTGGTGAGAGTTCCGAGTTGGTGAGATGAGCTTGCTGCGTAATTTGAAAAATGCTGTAGAAAACGCGTGATCTTTTATTATCTCCTCCGCAAAGGAAATAAATAAACAATGGAGTGTCGGTTGATCAAATCTTATATCAATCTTCTTATCGATAAATTAATTACCTTTGCAAACACCATAAACAGTAATGTTTGTTTCTATTACAAACATGTATAATTTGTCTCATTGTCTGCTTGCCTTGTTTTATTAAGTTTTGTATTTTATCATCAAGAGCCTTCCTTATTCTTCCTTTTTCCACTTAAAAGATTTCTCACGCTTTTGTTTCACATACTAATACTCCTGTGCAGGGGTTCGATAGTGTGTTGAGCGATTGTACTAAAACACATCGATGGATTCTTCTAAATGTTTCTATGCATGTGCTGTGATTTATATAATAGTTTGCGAAAAGCAAACCCAAAATTATATAGTTTGCGTACGTCGAAGTAGCTGGAATCTTTGATAGAAATGTGCTAAGACTTTTTCACAAGCGTCTTCTGGAGCATAATTAAACATCTTCAGAAGTTACAGCCATTAGCTATATAGAAACATTTAGAAGGATTGTTAGCAACAAAGGTCATGGTGATCTTTGATTATTTTCCGAGTGGAGGATTTCTTCAGGGGGCAAATTCGATATATATTGGAAACGTTCAGCGTCTTTTATGTGCTTCACACATGATATGCCACAATCGACCTTACCAGGTGTATAGAAGGTTTACGTATGGACATGTGATTAAGATTATATTATTAGAATATGCCATACTAAAGAAAATGAAGTCTAAAACTATTACTATTTCCAAAGTAAGTGTCAACAAGGGGATTATAGCCTATGACACGTTATTTAGTTATTTACAATTATCCGTTTCCGTTAATGACTTTTGTTATGTCAAAACAGGTTTTTTGTAATCCAGAAGATAAGTATAATGATCAAAATAATGTTATTCGAAAATGTATCTAAAGTTGTTTTTTTTTTCTCGTTCTAAACCTTAGAACCGTCCAAAAATCCATCCATGCTAAAATGACTTTCCTCAGAAAATTGCCGAGCAAACCATTGATAATACTGTTGGCAACAATTGCACCAGTTACTCAATGATTCAAGGCATTATTAGTTTTGACAAACGATTCCTTTCTCTCTTTATTAGCTGGCTAGCTTCGCCGAAGTATCCTTTTTAATTATTGAACCGTCAACATCGAGGTTAAACGTTTTTTTTGCCAAACAGTTAGGTTGATCCCGTTTGTACAGACACAGTACCTTTTTTGTCTTCAGAGAAATCGCAAGCATTGGTTTTTGGCGTTTATCAGCAATGCGTTTTTAATTAACAGTGGCCAGGGTTATGGTTAGCCGCACCATTTTTGTCTGAACACGATGATACGCTTGTGCCTCTGATATTTTCTCCATAGAAATTATTCCTGACCAATAGTATATAAAAACGAAGTTACTGAAGAAAAAAATTTTTTTTTTGACATTGCAGAGGCATTAATGGCGAAGAAAAAGAATATAGACGGAAATGTATGATTGACTTAATTTCTGGGATACAACATCGATAAATTCTCTGTATCTGGAGAAGTTTTAAATAAAATCAGACGGGACAAAGAATGCCGCATATTCCACATGCAAGATAGAGTGTAAGCGTCCTTCTGCACAAGAGTACTTCACATAAATGGCTTTCAAACTTACATGCTTTTCACCCGTTGACACCATAACTGTACACTGATACAGGAGAGGGGTATTCGCCGACGGCAGAATAGATAGCCCAATCTCAACAGCTACAATTCGAAAGCAGAAGTTATTATAAAAGTGTGGCTAGCATCTATTTGCTATAAAAATTAATAAGGTTAATCCGCTGTCTCTAAAAATAATTGTTTGCGTCTTGAGCGGAGTGGTATTACAGAGACATCAAAGAAAATATGGGAATGGCTCTGAATTAGTGTGATAGTAATAAACTGAATACAAGTACTTGCTATAATGATATCTAACACCGAAACTGTGACGTCTTGCGCTGGTAGTTTCCGTAGGTTTCCATTCTTTAGTGATTGTTGTGACATTGCCAGGAAAATTTTGAATATAAAGTAATATGATCAAGAGGCTATGACAAAACTATTACGTTCGGTCACTTGGGTTTAAATTGACCGGGGATATTAGCTCTAATGTGGCTTGCAACTTGTTTACACGCTGTGTCAATTAAGGTGTAGCTAAAATTTGCAGGTATCTCCTATTGCCAAGGTATAAACTCTCTCTAGCTAAATAATTAATAAAAAAATATATTACATTGATAATCGAGCTATTCTTCGTCGAAGAGTGTATTAATTATAAAGGGCGATAATTGATTTCACTATCGATCGTAGTATTTTATTTAATATGAATAATAATTATTGTGGGGGCTGAAGCTGAAACAGGCTGAATATGAAACGCTTGTGACCTGGAATTTGCGAGCGCACTTTTTGGACCCTGTCACGAATTAAATTTGTGCTATTATTATGTTTCCTGTGAAACCGGGCGCACTTTGATTTGTTACCCTTTAGTCACTTTTGACAGGCACGATTAAATGTCTGTTACACTTGTTACACTAACATCTCAGATGCGGCATATTTAAATTGCGAAATCGATGATGTCGGATTCAGCCAAATTCAATAATTCTAACAAAACAATAAGACAAGAAACGCTATTTTGATATTAGCAAGGCAGATGAATTATTTCCATTTATAGAACTTATTGCCGAACTCTAACTAATTTTAACGTGTTACAAATCGAGGTACTTATACTAGTACAGGTAGACGCACTATAATCATTTGTGTCTCGCTTCACAAGTTTGATTATGCAAGCTGTTTACGCCACAATATAATTAGCACAATAGTAAGAAACATTTGTAATAAATAGCATCCTTTTTTTGAGAGCATAACTCATCCAACACTGAAGTCACCTCTGCAAACTATAAACACTAGTTGTATTAATTCAATTAAGATATTTAACTAGCTAGAGGCATACTATAAATAGTTCTTAAAAACCAGGTGACATAATAATAAGCAGCAGCCAATATGGATTTCTCTGCAGATATGCAATGCTATTTTGGTTGGTGTTATCTGTATGGAATTGGAGCTGAACAGGATAAACAAAAGGCAGTTGAATGGTACCAAAAAGCAGTTGAACAAGGAAATGCTGATGCACAGTTTAATCTTGGGTGGTGTTATGATAGTGGAACTGGAGTAAAAAAGGATGAACAAAAGGCAGTTGAATTGTATCAAAAAGCAGCTGAACAAGGACATACTGATGCACAAATTAATCTTGGTTTATGTTATGAAAAAGGAACTGGAGTGGAAAAAAATGAACAAAAGGCAGTTGAATTATATCACAAAGCAGCTGAACAAGGAGATGCCATTGCACAATATAATCTTGGTTCATGTTATGCAGATGGAACTGGAGTAGAAGAAGATAAACAAAAAGCAGTTGAATTGTATCAAAAAGCAGCTGAACAAGGAAATGGCAATGCACAATATAATATTGGTTGGTGTTATGAAAGTGGAACTGGAGTAGAAAAAAATGAACAAAGGGCAGTTGAATTGTATCAAAAAGCAGCTGATCAAGGAAATGCTTATGCACAATGTAATCTTGGTTTGTGTTATCATTATGGAACTGGAGTAGAAAAGGATCAGCAAAAGGCAGTTGAATTGTATCAAAAAGCAGCTGAACAAAAAGATGCTAATGCACAATACTATCTTGGTTTTTGCTATCAGCATGGAATTTATGTGGAGCAAGATGATCAAAAAGCAATTAAATTCTATGAAAAGGCAGCTGAACAAGGATCGAGTGTAGCTCGAAATCAGATTTACAATATTTATTTCTCTAATGATAAGATCTTGAAAGAGAAAAAAATACAAGAAGTGATAGAATTCTATCAGAAAAAGAATGAGACCAGATAAGCAGTTTACCATGTAATTATTGTGCCTTAGAATCTAGACTTTGCTGATTGGAGAAGACTGTTGACTATTAATTTATGGCATAATGTTAATAGTATAGTTGAATGATGGTTAAACAGCTTTTACATTAAATCATACTAATGTTCTTTTTTATTGCCTTGCAATTGTTTATATATATATATATATTATCTACTATCAGATTTTATATTAATATGCATGACTCACCACTCATACTCAGCCCATTTATAAAAGTCTGTACTAAAATTTCATTTAGTTAGCTTTATTTTTTACAATAAAACCATAAATAAATGTTTTGCATTTCAAAAGTCAGTTTCCAATATTTAATTACATAACAATATTTGAAATGTATTATGAAGAAACAGTGACTAATTATTTAGTGTGATTCTGCAAATGGGTAGTTTATTATGATTGAATTATGAGCCAGTTAAATTTAACAAATTATGGTAAATATCTAGTTTACTGGAAGTTATATAAGTACAAAGTAAAAGGCTCTCTAGGGTGGATAGTGTGGTGGAACAACAAAAATCTTTATCCAAACTCAGTAATATGTGTGATAGCATAGATTTGTGCACTTTAAAGTGCGAAAACATAGATAATGGCAAGCTCGATAATTGGAATTTCAGTTTGCACCTATAGTAAATTGCAACTTTTGCTGGATAAAGTGGCATGTCGGATTGTAACATATTGTCATTAATAGGTGACGGATCAATAGCACCCGTAGAAATAATGTCATTGTTTAAGGTGAATATATCAACAGTTTGAGACATTATTTTATTAACATTTTTAAGGCAAGAATTTAAGCAGATAATAATAATGCATTCGCTTGCAGTTATAAACCCTTTCTTTCACAAGTTTCTCACGGGACAGACATGATTATTGTAAAGTATTTGTTGGTAACGCCTAAGCATGACAAATATTAGCAAGAACACACTGTTAGTATTTCTGTTTTGCACGACTAAATTACTGACAGATGTTGAACGTTGATTTCAGCATCACTAAGTGGCGTAGTTAATACTGTATCTTGTAATGAACAAAACACAGGATAATGGATTGGAAAACATTATATTATAATAATAGGCAAAGAAGAAATATAATATGTAATAATTATAACTATCATATATGGTATAATACATAATAGTGGAAAGCAGAACCATCGTTTGGAACAGGCGGTTCTAAGAAATTGCGCAATTTCCTATTAATTGGCGAAGTTATTTTCGTCGTCAATATGCTGACTTTAAAAAAATCATGGGCGCGTAACAACATTGCAGCCAGCCAAAAACTTTTTGTTGGCATGCATGCTTTCCTCCTGCGTGCTATTAAATAAAGCACGTGATCAGATGTGACTATAAGGAGATTTATTAGATTGTGACTATAGTTTCATACGAAATGTGACTATAGGCAGATAGTGACCATAAACAAAGGGATTATAGACAGTAGTTCACTGTATTTCTGGTTAGACGTCTAAATTGTGAGGCGTTCAAAAGTGAGTCTCGATATAACGACATCTTGTTATATAGAATAAAAATCTATATTGCTTAGTTGTCGTGTATAAGTTAATTCTCGATATAAGGACATTCTCGATATAGTGACCATGAACCGAGCATGTCGTTATTATTATATGACCCACTTAAACTAGTTTATGGACAATTCGATCACATATATAGTAATATTACGTTTAATATAATAATTTATTTATCTCGAAACGTCTTCGACATCGAGTGCCATTCTGTAAGCCAAGCCAAAGAATTAAACCTGTTAGGTTGATTCTCGCAGACGTAAGGTCTGATGTTTTCGTAATTTGTTGTTTTGCTAATAGTAGTAGTAATGGTGGTGGTGATGATGGTGGTAGTAAGTTCATCTATTATCGTGTATGGTGTTGTAGGGATGAGTGTGGTTAAGACGGGTGCGTTGATTGTCGGGTATTATTATGTATTTGGTAAACCACTTTTTGAATTTGATAGATGCGATATTATGGATGGACTACGATTCGACAAGTTTTTGAATGATATTCGCGTGGCTGATTTTGACTACGTGTACGGGATACCGTCTATCATAGTGATGTAAAACCATTATCACGCCTCGAAAAGGAGAGTAAAGCTTGTCTACTGGAAATCTGTTCAAACTAAGAAACTGTTGTGAGGTGTTATCAAATTATACATGAATACAGGTTGGGAATCAAAAAAACAGCACGTAATTTATTGGTATTCTATTAAATTGGTTCCGTTCCAACAGTTTGATATTGTAAACAACGATATCAGATAGCTTACTCTTATTATTATCAAATAAAAATAAAATAGATACTTATGGTACTTGCAGTGGCAAGTAAACGCGTTTTACAATACAGAATTATTTAATTTAGTGAAAGCGTCGTAATCTATAAAGCAACATTTTTTGGATGCACACTAACGATGTTTATCCTAATGATGTCGTTTATTGTTATCGTTTTTATATAACATTCGTTGTCGACAATATTCTACGCGTATCAGTAAACAATACAAAAACCTGGGGTTTTAACAAAATAGTGTCTTATCTGCGTCTTTACAGGTGAAACTGTTTAAACCGGCGCTGATCAAACCGGTCTCGAGTTTAACCGACTTTTATACCAAATTTCATTAATTAGAATTTTATTTAGCCAAACGTTTCTTGACTAGATTGACCAAAAAACCAGCAAAACAGGGCTTCCGTTTAAACAAATTTCACCTGTAGTATTATCCGTATGAGTTTTGTTACCTCAATGGGTACTTAACGATGTCCTTGTAAACTCTGCGAAATGATTCTAAGCAACTTTATTATATTGTAAGTGTGTCTTCCTTATCAACTGTATATGGTCACATCAATAGTTGCTTATTGATCAGCTGATCATGGATATTCAATAAAAATTTAAATCTTTGTGTGGAACTGTTCAGCAAAGATGCTTGCTCCTCTAATCCGCATCAAATTACCTTTAGGGCGTCTGTCCATTCCAATCAATCTACCCGTCAGATTTCAATCTTCACTCACTTCTCATCTCTATCCACGTCCTGGAGATCGCGGTATTTATGTTTAATCCGGGTAAATCGCCATGAGATTTTGACACAAAAAAAAATGCTGGATAAAAATTTGCAGTCATAGTTGCCATGTCCGGTGGAGTCGATTCGAGCGTATGTGCTTATTTACTTCATAAACAGGTAATGTAAGATATAGGTAAATATTGGATCAAATGGTTTTTTTCTTGAGAGATCGAATATAACTTATTTTTGGGAAGGAATATAACGTGGAAGGCGTCTATATGCGTAATTGGGATACAGTTGATGAGAAAAGTGTTTGTACCGGCGATCAGGATTGGAAAGACGTTCAGAATGTTTGTAAGCAAATTGGGATTCCTTGTCGAATGGTTAGTAGAAAAGATTCATGGGGGGAATTCCTATCGCAGTGATCCAACTGTCGGTTAGAGAAAATAGGCTTGACCATGGTTATTAATGTTCGATGTGTAAACTGACTTGTTCGATTGGCATTATGGGTATCATCCATATATATTTGATTAATATTTACTCGGATTATCAGCAACAACATTAACTCATATCACCAAAACTCGATGTCAAACTCAACAATAAGATAAACTTTATAAAAGAATATTGGATCCAAGTATTTACCAAGGCCATAGACGACTATGCCCGTGGGCTCACACCTAACCCAGATGTAATGTGCAATCGAGAGATTAAATTTGGTCGGCTGCTGGAGAAAATACTTGGTTCCAGTCATAACGACGAGGATGGTATATGGATGGCAACGGGTAAGACGGGTGAGGGGAAAGCAAGGATTGGCCGATGTATAAAGTGGGTGTTGGAGATTAGGCACATATTGAGAGCTTGTTGTGATACTTAGGTCACTACGCCCAAAGAGAAGTTGCGCCTTGTGGAAAAATCAAACTGTTACGTGGTAAGTACAAGTGAACGATCACACACAGTACAGCGTATGTTGCCAGTGAATTTTATTTGACGCTTGATTTATTGTGATCCAACAGCGGTAGACTCGACCAAAGATCAAACGTACTATCTGTCAACAGTACCAGAAGAAAAACTACAAAGAGTAAGCACTAGATTTATGACGAGCCCCTTTGACATGACGCCAACCGTTTATTTTTATGGTTTCTCAATCCTTGTTACATCTCGCTCAATCTTTTACGAAAACCAAGACCATATTTCCAATAGGTCATCTGACAAAGTTACAAGTACGGCAAATAGCAAATGAAGCCAACCTCATCATTGCCAATAAGGCCGAGAGTATGGGGTTATGCTTTGTCGGTGAGAAGAACAAGTTTGCCGATTTTCTAGGAGAGTATATTGATAATACGCCTGGCGAGATTAGAACGATTGATGGACATGTTATTGGTATGGTATGGTGTGGTAGTTGTTGTGGGCCTTGCGAAATGCTGGCTGTAATTTGTATATGATTGAGGTTGCTGAAAACCAGACTTTTAAATAATAGGAACGCATCGTGGTCTATTTGCGTATACTATCGGACAGTGTACCAGGACGCACTATGGACCTCAAAGGCAAAACCAGTTTCCACTAGATTCGTTCACTTTTCAACGCCCTAATGCTCTCCTGCTCTAACCAGATTTACTTTCATTACAGATGGTTTGTATATCAAAAGGATGTTGAAAATAATTCAATTATTGTTGTACCTGGATCGTAAGTCCAAAATTTCCCTCCCAATGTTCATCTTGCCGATTATTTTGAACGCTAGCAACAAGCTTCTCTTTCTTCTTTTCAACAGAACCAATATACTACTCTTTTCTCGTAAGCTCGTAGCACGGGATTGGGTATGGTGTTGGAACAAACCGCCGGACGGTATTGAGAAAGGTTAACCGCGCGCGTGGAAGCCCATTTTGATTGTGGTTTTTTAATTGACCTTACACTCGTTATGTATTCCGTTTAACAGGTATAGATTTGCTTGGACAAGTTAGATACCGACAAGTAGCTGGTGAGTCATTTCAAAAGTATTTAGTGCTGGAGACTCGCGTTCCTATTTAATACATTAAACTCTGTTTGCTCTTTTTCACCCACCCTTCACTAGAACCATGTAAAGTCACCATGAGGTACGATTTCCCACGTGCTTGAATTAATCAATGCTTATTACTAGATCAATAAAATATACCATGTATAGATCGGATTTCAAGTATTTAGTGGAATTCTCTGTTCCTATCCAAGCTGTTGCACCTGGACAAGTGAGTACAGATCATTTTGACAGACTTTGTTCTTTATACAAATAGTATTTTTTAATCGAATGTATAATAAATCTCTTTCTAGTATGTTGCCGTATGGGATGGAAACTGGTGTTTGGGAGGTGGTGTCATAGAAGAGAGCTTAAGAGACTTTGACGAATCGGATAAAATAACGCTGACTGATAGTGATCAATCATAGTATCTTGGTCGTCATATACAAGATCACGCAACGTACAATTAGCATGCAAAAAAAACAAACCATTCTTCAATTTGTGTTGATCAATCTTTAAGAACCCATATTTTAATAGTCGGGGAACCAGTCCTCTGAAATGAAAGTGGATAGAATACTTGCTAATTTCTACATGGTATATCGGGTGCAAAATAAAAGTACAATACAGATTAAGCCATTAATGAAAGGGGGTGGTAAAACTAATATGAAAAAAAAAAAAGTGGAGTATACAATATTATTTAATCAGCAGCAATTTCAGCGTGCGTGTTATTACTATAAACTAATAATAACCTCTCCCACCGTTTAGCTATACAAAAAAATATAAATATTACACTAATCACATAGCATGCCAATACAATTCACTCTCTGCCTCGCTGACTTGTCCAACACTATTTCTGGCACTATCCTTATCTCCAACAACACGCCCCGACGTGCCTCCAACTCGCTCCACCTTTAGACTATTATCATCATCATCGGTATCATCTTCATCATGAATTCCAAAGTCTCTTTTAATAGCACCAAGTCCAGTTCCAGCAATCGCAGACTCGAGATTTGCTTTCCTCAGACTTCTTCCACCGGTTTCCGTGTCACTGCTATTAGCTTCGCTAATTATTTCCTCGTCACTACTGTATCCACCCGGTTCACCACCTGGCGTGGGATATCGTTCTGTATCTGCGTCAAGGTCATTTTCAAGGTTGTCAATGTCTCTTATTAAATTTCGTCTCCCTATTCTATCCTCTTCTTGATCGTTTGCATTTTGTATAGTAGTGGTCGTGACCGTACTAGCAAAAATTCTAATCGGTGACCTTTCGTTTGGTGTATCGGGCGTTGTTGTTCGAGTCAATATTGTTCTTGTAGACGGTGCCGTACTATCAGACGACATCCTCCTACTATATTCGCCCACGTGAGATGTTTGTGAGATTACCGAGTTGCGCGCGGCCGTCAATTGTATAGAGGTTCGCTTTGGAGAAGCTGTTTGGGAGGGAAACTGGAGAGAACGAAGAAGAGTACTTGGATGCGTTGGCGAAGCCGGACGGAGTGGTTGCGAGAATGGTGCTGTAACGGAAAGAAGTGATGTTGGAGATGAGGCATTAGAGTTATTGTGAGAAGACTGCTGCTCGGGCAGACCTGTGGAACTATTATTAACAACGTTGCTCTTTGATCCTTGCATCGACTTTGGATCTTGTCGTCCCTGCTGAGCATTTATTTGTAACTGGAGTTTGTGAAAAGGCTGTATTGGCTGTGGTTGCACATTTTTCGTTTGCGGGGCCGCCGTAGTATTCGCGCTTGATAACCCATTCACAGGCATAGATTCTCCTTGTATTCTATCTGCATGTCCCGCATCATCATTTGCAAGGTAATAACTCGCAAGAAGACTCGGATCTGCCTTTTCGACGGCAACAAATTCCGAGCCGTTAACTTTCCCCAATGTCTTGGTCTCTGCGTATACTGTTCTTCCATCTTTTGATACTGAGAGATTACGCCGAAGCGGGTTGCCAGGAAAGGACATGATGTTGACAGGAGTTTGCGGCTGTCTTGATACGTCAGGAGATACGGAATAACGTGTTTTGTAGGCGTCAGTAGAGAGAGATATCGATTGACGAGGTAACCCAGCTCCTGACCCTTGCGTTGCAGGCGTCGACATGAATTTTCCAACGTCTTGGAAGCTATCAGTTTGGACTGAACTCAAGTGCTCCGGATTCCCTCCCGTGCCAACAAATCCCTTCCTTGGATAAACTATCAAAACCAACACAATCCATGTGATCAATTGAGCAAAACAATAGTGAGCTATCAATACATCCACTGCAAAGGTGCTCTGCTTTATCGGTCCTCCAGCAAGCGAATCAATACAAAGTATGAGCACACTGATACTAATCATGAACAGCGAACCAATAAGTATCTTGATCAGATCTACAAAGTATCGTGCTTTGGCTATGATAAAGGTGGAATTTTTGACTGCGATTGAGGTTTCGATAAGGTTCTTGAATCGATAGTAAATTTGTATTTGGAGAATAGCGACACCAAGAACCTGTACTGCAAAGAACATTAATGGTACCATGTCTTTAAGATCGTCCCTATTGCGCAGGATAAGTCGGATGATGGGGAAGCCAAAAGCAGAGACCGTTGACCAGACAATATAGCCTCGATATTCCATTGATGACATTATGGGTTGGCGGCTAATCGCTTGTGATGTGTAATCCCAGAAACATTGAAGGAGATAAAATACACAACTGCAACAGACATAAAGGATACGAGAAAAGTTGGTTTAATTATATGAATGACCATTATGAGGAGTTTGTCAAGTCATCCCGTTTCCCGACGATATACTGCCCCAATACTTACGTTTGCATACCAAAGTTTACCATAAGAACATAATCGAGTGAAGCTTCCCACTGTTGATGCTCAGGAGTCCACTCATCGCGTGTCTTGAGCCTTATTTTGTCAGCGACGATGAATCCTTCATCGTATACTATTTTTGTCTACAAGAAGGTATAGATTGTTAGAAATACAAAGGATACTAATAGCATTAACACTAATTGTAATTTATGAATGGGGTAACTTACGAGAAAGGCGTTATATACTACACTCAATAATAACGAAAGAATTATTAATACTGTCATTATCGACTTGAGGTCGAACGCAAAGAGTCGACTCGGCTTTAAAGCACTCAAATTATCGCACTAAAACAAAAAAACCGGTTATGACACAGGACATTGCATAACTCGTAGTAATAGTTTGCTAGATTATTTATTACCTTGAAGGCATGAAAGATAAGCCATAGCAATATGTAGATAGCATGAGTTGAACGCTCTGTTAGAAGGGTTAGAAAATTGAATAAACATATGAGTAGGTTTGCAATTAGACATACTGCCGACCCTCATGTATAATGCTACACCCTCCCCCTTTTACATACCTAAGAAGGCGTATTCACACAGAGGAAAAGTAGTATACTCTTGGTCAGACATTATCGATATTTTATTATCGAGTAATGACCGCTGACAGTCGAATTTATTAACTCACTGAGTTTATTTTTATAGTATGTTTTAAATTCCGTATTTTGCTAGTCCAACCGAGAGTCGTAAGAATCTCCTCAGCAGATTATGAAACTTGAGAAACGTCAAATTCGTCAAGGACACAATACATATAGTATTCGTAAAGCGGAGGGCAACAAGTTTACGACACGTAAGGAGGATGGGGAAGGTAGGGAATGTGTGGAAGATATTAAGGGAAAAGGGAAGGGAAGGGGGGAGGGTAAGGAATATTAAGGAAAGAAATAGAGTTTAAAATTGTAAAATAACGGTTGACTGTTTGTAATATAGTGATGGTATGTATAACAATATTTAGTGAGAATTACTAGTCGGTGGAGGTAACATAGCGTAGAACGAATAACATGGTCAAACTAATTTTACCGTAAATATTTCGCCTGCCTGTCACACTTTTTCGCGTTCAATCACTCTTGCTTCCAATGCTCAGTTGTTTAATGAATCCAATACGACAGATACCATAAACTAGTAACTATCACCACCAGTTACATGAGGGGAGATGAACAAATAGGATAATTTAAATAGACGTTTTGCCAAAACAGTGTAAACAAACACACAGCATATTAATATTGAGATACGGCAAGGGGAGTGGGTTGGTTGTGTTGTTGACTGGGTGCGACGACGAGTCTGCGGAATTAAACAGTGACTCCGTATCTATTAAAAAACCCCCCCTCGTACTCTATCGTAACAACAATTAAGTTACCTGCTCTCATACATACACAGGCGCGACAATAAAGGAGAGAACAGGAATTCGAACAAGGTTTGAATAAATTTAGCGTACGGTTACAACCTAGTACTTTATAGTAAGACAGCATGTGAGTATTAAATATGCATGCATCGATTTTACGTGGAACACAATCGCTAAATAGATAAATGATAGGAAGATGATAACAGACCGTCCCCATAGATAATGCACGATATACTAGAACTGCAATTGGTGGATGGACATTCCATACAGCACACATTCTGTACGCTCAAACAATGAGCCGACACAACAAACCATAGTCCGTTCCCGTATTGAATGCATGTGCAAGTACCATATCGGTTACTGCCAAGGCGACACGGTCATACGTTTCAATCATGGCATTTATAGATAACACAACCTTGATAAAGACGATCATGTGACAAGATATAGGCAAAAAATACCATTGATTAATAATTGCATTCCAAAATGGGACTAATGCAAGCAGAGAGAGGCGAGGGAACTGTTTATTCGAATACTTTGCTTACGAAGAATCTGCTACAATGTTGCAATGGTGTAACAAAAGTTTAAGGAATTTTTTATTTCGACACTATACTTTGAATGGCGTCCTAAAACCTTGACGTTCTTTTGGCGTCATTTTTTATTGATCACTTCCCCCATTGATCGATCTGCTACAGTTTATGCATGTGAAATTTGCAACAATGTTTCAGAATTTTTTGGGCATGCATATTTTAACAATTGGGTTTAATATTATGTTTGGACAATAATTTCTAATTTCAGCTAGTTGAAGACAGAATATTCTATTAATAACGCCTGGCCGTGTGTGCTTCGGATCATTACCTAATTGGAAATGCGTAAATAGTATTAGTATCATAAATCCGCTTTCTTGCATCCATGCAAAATTAAAAATCTGCTGGATAATCAGCAATGGTAAGTGTAGATGTCTTACAAAAAGACCATTTTTATAACCTAAACTTGCCAAGTGTCTTCAAACTGTCTATAATACGTTTTAGTAGCACTGTTTGACAATTTCCGCTTGTAGCGTGAATAAATTTAATTTACTACGTCGGATAAAAAATGATGGTGATCAATGATACGCTTGCATTTGAATACGTGGATAACTCTTGTCATCCTATCATGCGTAATTTCTCAGACTTGTGCAAGGCCAGTACGGATCTTAATGCATCGATTTAATCCACGAGTGCTTTGTACTGGTATGTGATCATGCATTGTGGTTCATTGATGGACGCTTTAATTAACATTTCAACGATTGGATATTATTTGTGCTTTTTCTTGATTAGTTAGTTCGAAACCTATTTCTTCTGTATTACTACCTTTATTACAAGTGAGAGGGGTACTTCGCTGTTCAAGTAGCTTTAGTATGTAAATGTAGGAAATAAGAATTGCGCGATATCGTTTCGATTGTTCACATCATATTTATTATTTGATGTACGGTTTGTCTAGTTGTAAAATTTGTAATACTATAGCGAATCCGTTAGCAATAGTCACGAAATAATGATAGTTCACAATGTGAGACCAGCAAATAGAATAATCAAATAAAGGACGTGGGCTAAATTATTCAAATAGCAATTTGATAATGGCAACTTGCACGCAACGAAGATAATTATTTGACGAGAAATGACACAATTAATGATAAACAAACATATAAGCGTACTTTCAAGAATTTAACCCATCGTGCGCTTGCATTGAGAGTAAGAGAAAACAATTAAATTATGTCAGCACGTTAAAGAATTTAGATAGGTGATTGGAGATAAATCCAACGATGCACAAATTTATTCACTAGTTTGTATACGAGACAACGTCACGTTAAACGAGTACGCATGCAAAGGTAAAAATTACATGATGTTATCATACGCGCCTAACATCTTAAGGATAATATTACGGATGAAGCAACTCAAGTATCGAATAATTCTAATCTACAGAACAAACTGTTTATAGCTACAATAATGTTTATAAAATAACTGTGTAATAAGAAGCATAATAAAAGTTCAATAACCCTAACCCTAACCCTTCAAGCTTACAAACAAATTTATTGGTCCCGCTTCTTTTAGCAAACTCAATTACGCCAAAAAAGTGTCTTTACGCTTTTCGATTAACTTGTGAAAAGTCCATTACTACAAAAAATGACCACACTACCTAGAAATTGTGGTAACGTTATCGTACAATTGTGTGTTTATAGAGGGCATAGAACATGCGTTCTAGAATCAAATTTCAGATTCAAAAAAAGTTCCTCAGCGTGTTTGATGACATATTGTAGTACTCATTTATTTCACGTTTGTCTTCTTGACGATAAAAATTGATTGATAGTACAACAAAAGTTCCGGTTTAACCGTTTGTTACTATAGGCAACTGATAGAGATTTATCGATTATAATGCTCCAATGTGGTTAAAGTATGCCAAACTATACCAGTATGATATTCACTGACATTAATAATCAATCCGGATTGACACCAGACTGTTGAATCAAAAAATGTGTATTTACCACAATGTTGGACCAAAAAACGATGCTCGCGTTTTTCATTTAATACATTTTTGCCGCCTCGTCACTTCATGTGTGGACGTCAAACTTTTAAATTGTTATTAAAAATAGAACACGGACTTTTTTAACATTTAAATGAAACAAAAAAACTGATAATAGCTGAAAAGGTATATTTACACCGTTTGTCAGTTGAAATTGATCAAACGAGATGTCATGTTCATGAATCCAATTTATTAGTATTTACTATGCGTACTATTAATCGTACAATTAAACTTGTTATTATGTATTCAACTACTACTTGTTTTTAAAAGGACGTGAGGTTGAGACAATTTATATCGATTATCTTTATTAATGTTTGGATGATAGTCAATGGCGGCGCTAATTCCGTTTTTGGAGTTTGTGATTGGTATTCAGTTGTATTACATGCCACTACATACATATCTGTACGATTGTTGACTAAAACTTGTGGAACAAGATTTTATGGAGCGAAAATAGTTTTCTGCTTCTCGTCCGATAATTCACTAAAACATGTCTGAGGTTCAACCGTCTAACGACATATACAGAGAGTGGCTAGTTAAGAGTGTCGAACAAGGATTAATCGAACAATACTCAGAAGAGGACTTCTTAGATCGTACACTTCTCGGTCACGGTGGATTTGGAGTCGTACACAAAGCCAAGATGAAGCAATCTGGAGTACTAGTTGCAATGAAAACCTTGTTTCCCGACCGTTATGGTTGTGAAGAAGAATTACATAAGCAGTTTGCCAAAGAGGTAATAACTGGTTAACTATTCGTTTTATTATCCTGATTGTTATCTGAATTGTTTCATAAATCTATAATTTGCATATGAATAGTTGAAAACCCATAAGCAGGTGGATGATCATCCAAACATTATACAATTTCTAGGAATATGCCGAGGTATATTAAGTGATATCGGATATTGTGGTTTACTGTATACATAAATGTGATTATAAAGTCTCTACTCTTTAAACTTTATAATATAACAGATCCATCAAGTCATTACCACATGATCTTTGAATATGCAGATGGTGGAACTCTGTATGAACACCTACGGAGATACTCCTCTAATCTGACATGGAATGACAAGTATAAGCTGGGTGTGGAGATTACTGATGGATTAACATATTTACATAGTCTTGACATTGTTCACAAAGACTTGGTATGTATAAATTACACAGCCTTTTTACTTAACTATTATATTCATAAATTTGGTGTACAATTGCCATCATGCACTAATATTGATGCATAATCAATTACTGCATTAATTATTATATGCATGGAATTAGACCTCAACAAATATTCTTATTCAAGGAGGCATTGCAAAGATAACTGACTTTGGATTGTCCAGTGCTCTCAAACAAATTATGTCTACATCAAAAGGTGAAGGGAATACAGCATATATTGATCCATTATCTCTTAAGGACAGTACTTATAGACGTGGGAAAAAATCAGACATCTTTAGTCTTGGAGTAATACTTTGGGAGATTTCAAGTGGGAAACTTCCATGTCAAGGGGCTACCAGAATGAATGAGATTTTTTTATACAGATTGCATGGTTCTCGTGATTTTCCCATCCCTGGAGTATCTGAATGCTATATCAATCTATATTCAAAATGTTGGGATGAAAATCCTGACAAACGGCCAACATGTGAAAAAGTAAATGAAGTGCTAAAGTCATTGATAACTCAATCATTAGATCT